TCCAATTTCGGAAACGGCATACGAGCTTGATTGTCTCTAGAACTTTTTCCACGGTATAGGTGGGTGGAAAGGAAGATGAAAAGAAGGAATTTTATCGAATTGCGTATTGATTGAGTGTATTCCACCGTTGCGAGTGGAGAAATATTTATTTTCGAAAAATGTGTAAAAAATAACAAGCATGCATTGAAATTTTAAATTCTCTTTTTATAAGTGTTCACAGATTAAACAAAATACTTGTATATTTAGGCAAAAAATTGATATAGATAATCGATCGAATTTGAGAAGTATTTTTGTAAATTTTTCAAGAAATATTTAAACTTTAATTTTGTAAATAATTTGGATATAACATCTCGAAACAATTGTTTTAAGTCGTTACAAGTTATCGATAAATTTTTTTTTGGAAATTAAACTCAAGTAATTATTTTAAGTAATTATTCAAAATTCGCGCGATGTAACGATTCGTCCACGAGTTCTAATACGAAATATAATAATACGAAAAATAGAAACTTTCTATCTTTTTTTTTTTTACCGCCATATTTGATTTGCAAAACTGCGAAACTGTATTAAATATATCACCTAGCCATTATAATATATATATATATATATATTTTTGATAATAATATTTCTAATTTTAATTGGCAATCTTTTTATTCCTTTCAATTTTTGAGCAGTATGTCTTCTCACAGAGTTTTTTTCATTTTATAATTTTCATCGTTTCTATCGTTGTTTCCTTAAATTGTCATTGTTTAGGTTCCATATCTGACCTATATCTATCGAATAATTTATAGGATTGTCGAGGACATTTCGTAGCAAACAGCCATAACTTCTTTTCTTAATAAGTATTCTTTCCTTAATATCCGATTCTTTGAAATACTATTTCGAATTCTCAAGGTCCAGTTTATCGAATTCGATTCAAATCACAAATATTTATATATTTATATATTTTTTATATATTGATTATTATCTATATTTTTTTTACATATTTAATCGTATTTTTACGTTATATATACATTTTTGATGATATAATAAATTATAATGAAAAAGCGGAGTATCGTTTTCTAAAAATTAAATCTCCACATATAAGCTCAGAACGGGAAAAAAATAATTTTGTCTAGTCAGCTCCTATCATTCGAATCACCGTGCGATGTTTCGTTCGAGAGGGTTGAAATTTGTGTAGGATAAGCACAGGGAACATAGAAATTACTAAATCAAGCGGAAACTTCTCTCTAACGTATACCAGTTTCCCAACTTAACTTTTTTACTCCGTGCGATATATTCCATGCGTTTTATTCTGCATCATTTGTTTATTTGATTTTAACCACGGTTTAGAACAGTTAAGCAAATTTTTCACTTATCTTCGTCACACGACGGGAGAAGTGCTCTTTCTTCGTACGTTTATTTCGCCAGAGAGATGAATATAAATGAATAGAAAAGATAGAAAAAAAAAAGGTTATGTATTGGAAATATATCAGATTTTATCTTTGTTATCATGGAACCAATCTTGGCTCAACTTGTCGCGTATCGATTTAAATTCCATGCAATTTTTCCACGAGTGTTCGAAACTCGTTTTGTATAAAAATATATTCGTATGAAAAAGGAGAGAGAAAAAAAAAAAAGAAGAAATTTTGATATACCGTGTCAAAGTCATTTAGAGGAACAACGGTTTCGTGGATATCACACGAGTGACAAGCATGAATATCAAACGTGTGCAAATTCGGAACAGGAAGCTGTCAACCGAGCGCGGAGAGGAGAAGCGTGAGAGAAGCTCGTCGCGATATATTTCACCATCGACGAAGCAACGTTTTCCTTTTTTCTCTGTCTCTTTTTCTCTCTCTCCTCTCCTTTTAACCCGTGGTGTAGGTTACGCGTTAACAAAACAAAAGGAAACAAAAACAACAACAACAACAACACAACAATAACAACAGGGCGAGAGAACGCGTTTTCGACGTAACGTTTCAATTAATACGCGACCTAGTGGAGCAAGAGAGGGAGGAGGAAGAAAAGGAGAGACGAGGATGGAATAATAACCGTGGGAAGCGATGCGAATGAAAAAGAAAGAAAGAAAGAAAGAAAATCGTCAAATCCGTAACCGTGTAATAATCGGGAATAAGAAGAATCGCATGCGAAATATTCTTGCATCGATTAACGTAAATCATCGGGGCAGGAGAAATTGGTTTCGGAATACGAATGCGGGTGGGATCGCGTGTATCGCGATAAAAATTATTATCGTCATTATACGCGTTATGCTCGTCCTAACGAATGCAACAAGCGTTGTTGTAAAATCGCGATATATTAACAATTTTCGACGTACTTCCCTCCTCCGATGAATTATTCAATAGTTCCTCGCTTATTCGTGACCACGCGCGCGTGATTCAGCCCCAGAAATCGTAGGATTGGTTTCGCGAACGAAACGAAACCTCTCGATTGTCCAACCTCTGGACAATATCATGCCCGCTCTTGATTAACTTCGATATTCGTTTCGAATAACGAATCGAATCGGATTATATACGCGGTGAATTAAAATTACATTATCTATATATTCGTTAGGCGAAAATGTAAAGTAATCCGATTATTCTATCCTTATTATAAAATTATGCTAATTATAAATGTATATATATACTGTTCATCGGTGGAAATCAATCTTCCTTCTATGATTCTTAATTTCATTTCTTTCAATGTCAATCGTATCTTCCAATGTTCTTCGATCTATTTAAAAAAACAAAAAGTCGAATTTTGTTATCAACGTTCGGAATTTTATTTTTCGTGACAGATAACATTCGGAATTTTATTTTTTGTCTCGTTGAAATATGTTTCGAGAGCACGGCTTCTTTCGATCGTAAAATTATATATTATCTCCTTTTACTGTTCACTGATGGAAAGAAGTTTCGCGGGACGGCACAGGGGCAAGAGGGGTTCTTCGCTAGGATCTTCTATCCCCACTCCAGACTTTTTGTTGACACTATACATTACATACTAGAAGAGCTATAATTTGAATGTTCAAAATCGTAAAAATTATTTTCATTTTCATGAAGTTACGTTAGAATAATATAGTATGTTCGTATTCCTGAGTCTTTTAGAATTAAGAAAATTGCGATGAAAAATTGTTTAACATTGAGAGAAATGAAATAGCTTTAAGAAATATAATTTTAATATTTATCCTTTGCATATATTGTATCCTGGCAAACATTTTATTTTTATTTTTTTTTTATTTTTGGATGATTGCTAAAATTGAAATTTAAAATATACATTGCTATGTTGCATCTTCGAAATTGAAAAGTTAAATGTTGCAAAAGTCAAAATAATTATTAATCGATGGTAAGGTAGAATCGCAAGAAAAGAAAATCTAGTTACACCTTACCAAACATCGTGGAAAGTTTCCGACAACTGTCTAAGAGGAGAAAGAGCGGTTGAACAATGAAGATAAATAAACGAAGAGAAACGTTTATCGCTTATACCTCGTATCTCCTCGTACGTATACAAACTTGGTT